TTGGTAAATCCATGTTGGCTATTCCTATTCACCATCTTGTTATTTGTATACTTGGAAATGGCTCCCAGGAGGATTTGTTCTGTTACTTTCCTGGAACTGGTGGTAAGGCTGACCTGTCCTCAGTTTTCTTGATCTTTTAGACACTAATTTCGACACTTTTACACACTAACTAAATAATCCCTATATTAGTGATTGAAAACTTGTTCCCTTTGAGGTTTTTTTTTTTTTTTTTTTTTTTTAACTTTCAGAACACTTATCTTTTCTTAAAATCAGATCAATCAAGTTTTTTTGCCAATTGTGTTTGGGCAATATAAGCATCTACTTTTACTTTTTTAGTTTAAATTAATGTTTGGAATCTTCTGACCCTTTCATTGCCTGTACTCCCTCTGGGAATCATATATATTATTGAAAAATATTCATTCTGCTGGGGATCAGGCCAGTTGCTCCAAAAGCCATGTAGGCATGTTACCATACTCATCTTTGACAGCAATAAATTACTGTCTTTTCACCAGCTTTTCTAAAAGCCGTGCGCTTTAAAGTAATCTTTTTTTTGTAATTTTGCATTACTCTTATCTATTATCTATTATAGATATTATAATAGATAATATATAATATATAGATATTATATTATATAATTATCTATTATAGATAACAGATCTAAATAATCCTTACAGGAAGAATTTATGATACACATGAAAGCTCCTTCTGCTACTTTGACCCTAATTTTGATAAATGACTTCAAGTCTGTGGCCTGAACTCTCCACCAAGCCCAAGAAAGAAAGTCTATTATACATGTATTACTTCAAGGCTCATGTAGGGATCAAGGCATGCCAGCTGGTGTTGCTGATCTTAACTCATTCCATAAGACCTAAAGAAAAGCCTGTCTTCTTTGGAATGACAACCAAGCCTAAATAAATGGTATTTATGCCTCCACCTCTCCTTGCATCTCCCATTAATAAGACAAGCCCTAATGTTCTACTAGATTATTTATTGGCTTAAATTGAATTTAAATTTTTCCTTTGGCATTTGCTAAATCAGATCTTCACGATTACATTCCTGTCAGCAAATATCTTTCCTTAGCTGCAACTATACATCAAAGTTTACTTGAATATTTGAATTCAAGATACCAGCCTCCAGGGTTCAGTAAATACATGAGAAATTTAAAACTGTATGTGGAAAAATTTCTCAAAAAAGCAGACTCCTCATAGGTTCAAAATTAATCTGTATTAGAAAGAAATAGCAAACAAAAGACATAATATAAATATGTGCAATTAATTTACTATGAAAAAAAAGACTTCTCCACTTTTAATTGTAACACATTAAGAGGAAAATACTTTCTGTCAGAATTATCAGGAGCATATTCCTCACTGGATTTAATATCAGCTGTAATGTGCTTAATTTTCCGTTTTTCTGAAGTGATAAGAAAATATTACTAATATTTCTTACAGTACTGTAAAAAAAGTAACATGAGAGGGTGTTTTTTCCCTTGGAAAAGTTGTAACTGCTTTTACTGCCCCAGGAACAAAGAATTTTTCAAAAAACATTACTTCCATTTCCTTATCACAAATTATTTGTTGCTGCAACTGCAAATCTTCTGTGTATATATTTTCCACAGCCTCTCTGCAAAAGAGGATTTATGAATGTACTCAGTCTCATAGCAGCTCAGAGCTACTGAGGCCATTCCTGACACCCAGTGCAGTGCTGCAGGAGCACCAATCCAAGATAAAGCCAAGTGAAATAGGAGCCAGGGGAGCTATGTAACTGGGATTACAGTGCAAGCAAGACCAAAGGACAATGCTGTGTCCTCAAAAGACCGAGGGACTCAAATGATACATTAATGAACAGAAAGAAAATAATGAAATCAAGAATAAGAATAGAGCAGAAAAAAAACCCTCAATGTACACAGATAAAGAAAGTGAAGGTGTGTAAGAAAAAAAGAAAAGAAGCTCAGATCTAACTTCTATCTAGAAATAAAAGGTAAAAGATAGATGGATGTAGAAGGAAGGGGAAATAATAAAGAAAATTAATAACAATTCAGTTGTGCAGAAATGTCTCCCTTTCCCTGTGCAAACTTTCTCCCGTGAAAAGCTAGACTTGAAACAGGTTGTGTCAATAGAGCCAGCATGAAATATACTGAGGGATGATACTGCTGCCAGCATATATGTTTCTTAAAAATGACTGATAGCATGGCATAAGACAGTTAAAGATAATTCAGATAAATATCATATTAGAATTCTAAAAGACTTAATTATAATGAATTGCTATAAAGAACACCAGAGAAGTTCTTTACAGAAAAGAACAGCATACAAATAATCTCTTGGCAAAGTCAACAGTGAAGGGTGTATTCAGAGCTCTGGATAGCCAAAGTGATGATGAGATCACATACAAAACGTTGAGAAAAAAATGACTGAAAAGCAGGCAGGAGAAAGGTAGTAACCACCACTCTTAATTCAGACTACCACAAAAAGTATTAGAAGATTAGAAAAGTGTGTACCCAGATGCATGGCTGAGGGAAAGACTGTATTTACTGCAAAGAAAATGGGAAAGGAAAAAATTTGGTGTCATAAGCTTAAAGACACACATTGGCTACAATATGGAAGTCTCTTGCTGGAAGCTTTATGGAAAATGTGTTTGAGACTGTTGAAGTTAATGGTATGTTTCCCCAAGTACAGAAAAGATGGTGAAAAGGCAAAAACCTTGCTGACAGAATGCAAAGACTTTGTCACTGATACCAAGAGAAATTCTAGGTGGATGATGTGAAATCATATCTCACCACTGGATGAGAATCATCCAGTGATCTGAGTGGTAAGATGGTAGAAAGCACTGTCCATGTGGGGGGAACACAGAGAAAGTGTGTTGGAACAGTATGTGCTGTACTGGAATATAATAAAGCAAGAGTACATAAGCCAAAAGATTTTCCAGAGTGTCTGTCATTCCTTTATTTTAATATCCTCATTTCTACTGGTTGCCCTGCTGTACCATATGAGAAGCCTTTTAATGATGAAGGAAAGGAAGCCTGTTTCACATCTGATATGTTTTACAGAATCTGAAATGATAGGCAGAATGCAAACAAAATGAATTCACAGGTAAGAACTGCAGACACTGTCTGAAAGGATACAGAAATAGAATTAAGGTTAAACAAATGTCCATAACCAAAGATACTAGAAAGATCTATACTGTAGCACAGAAGAGACTGCACCAGCTTGGCTCCCTCTGCCTTATACTGTTCTTAACACTATCCTGGTGTGTCAGCTCTGTGCCATGAAAACAGCTCTCTGAAGGGCTGAGACACAGCCCTCACATAATTTGCTTATGTATTTACGTTCAGCCATTTTTGATGGAAAATACATAAAAATAATGCATACATCTTGACATGGAGATGTGGGGAGGCTAGGGAGACTCATCAGCAGGCTCTCAGGTGAAGCCTTCTGAAATGGGAGTAAATAGGGCAGAGGTTATCTAATGGACTTGGATAGGAAGAGTACAAACACATCAAAAATCTGATCAGTATCACTGCCTGAGTTGGGCAGATTTCATACTGACAGTAAATAAATAACAACGATTGCAAATACCAGGAAAAATGAGATGTGTGTAGCAACATCTGTCTAGATGTATAAGAGAGAAAACAGACTGGCTACAGTTCAGTTCAAATAACTAACTGGCCATTATCTTGCTAGTGAGAGACATTTAGGGAGCTACAAAACACAAACGTAGAGATGGAAGGAACAACCTGGAGAGTACTTGAGTAGTGAAGAAACATAATTTAATTTGATTGATTGCAATTTAAACACAGCTTGAAAAAGAAAAGTTGATATGAGGATGTTTAAACAGCTCAGAGACAGACTATTTGTACCAACTATATCCAGGTACAGAGGCAGGATAGGAAAGCTGCTCTGGAAGACAGGATGAAAGGCCCAGGTCTGGGGTCCAGCAGCTGTAGTCCAAATAGATCTGCTGGGGAAGAATAGAAAGTAATGGGAGGGACAAAATTATCAGTACTGTGTATTGCTAGAATTAGCAATCAAAAATATAAAAGGAATTGGAAAAGTCAAGATGAAAAATATTAAAGGCAAAAATAGTTGCTGTCAAAGCAGTATACGGTACAAGACTACAAAGCAGGAGGTAGCTTTGCTGAGGGCATTTTTGACAACTGACAGGCATGTTTAACTGCCTATCAATAAATAAAGAAAGAAATAATTAAAGCCCAGCACAAAGTGGGATCATTTGGGTTGTGAATAAGATGGAAGCACTGCGAAATATCTTTGTTACTTTGTGATGTCACAGGTCAGGTGTAAAATACCTACACTAGAATTTGGGTTTATTATAAATTCAGCAGTTTGTCTGGTGGCACCTGCTATGAAGAACTCTGAAATTCTGAGAGGAAGTAAAACATTTGCAATGCAAGGGTGCAATGATCCCAGCTCAGGGCACTCCGGCAACTTTTTCGTCCTTGAAGTTGTCAAGGGATTACAACAGGAACAGAAAGGCTGCTCTGAATAGTTCACTATTATGGATTCTCTGGTGGGTTTCTTGAGTCAGTGGGTTGTGAGTGAATGGCCACGATCTCCCCATCAGAATTATCTTCTACTCAATTAGACCTGATTTCAGCACAGTTAATGAGTTTTCTGTGTTTACTTTCCTGTCCTAGGAATTCTGACAAATGTCCTTGTGGCCCGTGAATTCTGCATTCTTTGTGCTCACTATCAGCAGCACATCCCTGTCCCCAAGCTTTGCTAACCTCTCCCTAGGTCTCAGACCACTGAAACATATCCATCCCTAAAATTAGCGAGGCAATTCCACCTGGACATCAATAAGAGCTTGTTCGCTGTTGTTTCACGGATTAAATCTCTGTTCTTGATTAGGCTTCAAAGAAAATAAAGACCAAACACCACAGAGCAACCTTTTTAAAGGAAATGGTTACACATTTGACGCGCCGCAGGCCCGGCGGTGCCGGAGGGGGGCCGGGCCCGGCCGCGCCATGGCGGGCGGGAAGGGCGGGCGGGCGGGCTGGAGGAGGAGCCGGCTCCGCGCAGGGGCCGCCCCTTCCCGGCGCGGTAAGGCCGCGGCCGCGGCAGCGGCAGCGGGAATGGGCCGGGCCGGGAGCGCGGGGAGCCGGCGGCGGCAGCGCCCGGAGCGGAGGGTTCGGCGCCTGCGAGGACGGGAGGGAGGCGGTGCAGGCAGCGAGCGCTGTGTGCTGTGTGCTGTGGGCGTCCCGGGCCGGGCCGGGGCCTTGCTGCTGCCCCGGGCTGCCGGGCCGTGCCGTGCCGTGCCGTGCCGTGCCGTGCCGTGCCGTGCCGTGCCGTGCCGTGCCGTGCCGTGCCGTGCCGTGCCGTGCCGTGCCGGGCGGCGGCCTCGGCCCCGGTCGCAGCGCTGTGAGGGACGCGCCCCGAGCGCTCCCGGTGCTGCGCGGCTCTTCTGGCCCGGTGCCCGTAGGAGCGCGCAGGTGTCAGGGCGTGTTAACATTTTCGTGTTAACATTTGTTACCTGGTCTGATGTTACCTGGGTTCCCCTCAGGGTTTTCTTGTGTGACAGGACCCGGGGGAGCGGCCTGAAGTTGTGTCAGAGCAGGTTCAGGTTGGATATCAGGAACACGTTCTTCACCCAGAGGGTGGTTGGGCACTGGAACAGGCTCCCTAGGGAGGTGGTCACAGCACCAAGCCTGACAGAGCTCAAGAAGCTTTTCCACAATGCTCTCGGCACATGTGTGACTCTTGGAGATAGTCCTGTGCGGGACTGGGAGCTGGGTGTGATGATCCCTGGGCATCCCTACCGACTTGGAGTATGCTGTAACCCTGCAGTCTGTTCACCTTTCAGCTGCCTGCTTGGCCTTACTGCCCCGTGCAAACTGACAGTGGCCACTTTTGTGTCAGCCTTCCCTTGTGTCCTTAGCCCACTTGCATTACCAGCTGTTCTAAAACTCCCTGGCTCTCCTTTGCTTGTACTTTTCGTACTGTTTGCCATGGAAATAAGCCTTCTGCTCCTCTGTTTCTGCTGTCCTACAGACTGCTAGAATGTGGTAATTAACTTCCATCAAAGATGAGAATAAGACTCAGTATTGTGGTAGTTAGTGGCTGGATACTGTCACACACAAGAGAAGGAAAGGTGGTACATTTTTTCTTCCTGCATGGGAATTGTGGAAGTAACAGCCTGGCCCAGGGATCTCCAGGTTAACCACAGCACGTGGGAATGCTTGTTTGATAGCCAAAGAGCAAGCCACAGTTAGTGCTGAGGTAAAGGTCATTGGAGATGTCAGTCTGTAGGAAAGCAGATAGGCTTTGCCCATTCTGCTCACAAGGGTTCAGCCTCCCCTGTCTCTTTTTTATGGGGAAATAGAAAGTTAATGAAAGATCAGAAAGCATGTGCAGTAAATTCTTCTGAGAAATGGTAACTTTAAACAAAGATACTACAAGTTGAATACAACTCTTCTCAAAAAGTCTAAGACCAGGATTTATTTTCAAACTTAACTTTATCCTTTTTTTTTTTTTTTTTTTTCAAGTTAAAATCATGGCACTGAAACAGGTTTCCAGCAACAAATGCTTTGAAGGTTTCCAGAAGGTGTTTGAACACGACAGGTAAACACCACTAAAGCAACCAAGATGTTTAGCTTGGGGCAGTGAATCCATTGCTGTCTATTTTTGGTCTGCAGGAAAACAGCATGCTCTCACTAATATCCATATTTCAGTCTGCTGCTGCTTTGGCTGGGCTCTTGAATTCCTGTGTTAATGTTTAACATAATCTAGTATACTTAGTGCTGTAGAGCTGAGGTGGGAAGCTAATATTTTTACCTCTGAAAATGGAGCTTCGTTACTTTGGGTTGTCCTGTTTGCAGCACAGAGAACTGCTGTGGTTGCAAAGTTCCACTTGCTACTGGGTCTCTTACTGCTGTGCACTCTGGAAAAGTACTGTGAGCAGTGACTCAGTGAATAGATTCTTGTTTAATGAAGATGTATAAGAACACCAGATTTAAAAAAAAATTTATCCAAATAAAAATAAAATCATCAGTTGTGCTTAGATAAGAGTTTATTGACAGTTTTAGGCTTTAGCATTAATTGAGCAACTAATTGGTCTGAGACTTGGTAGACTTAGTAGATTGAAAACCTCCCTTGCTGGTGCATGCTGTGCATTTAATGTTGTGCAACTCATGTGGATGTGTTCTTCAGTAAAAATTATGTTGCAATTTGATAGCCAAAGCTCAAGCTAAATATTGCTGGGATTCAAAATTCGATTTTCAACCTGTTCTCAGTTAGCAGCACTGTGAAAATGTGGCTTATTTGTAAGTCTCTTTTAAGTATATTCAAAAAAGGCTGAAAAGTTAACTGTTGCCAAATCTAGAGTCTAAGGCTGAGTTTAAAAATTGATTTTCCCTTCCTTTAACTTAGTTGCTACAATTCACTGACCACATCTCCCGTTCAATGAACTGATTCCTTTTTTTAATGGTAGTGACCTTGTTAATTAAGTAGTGGTGATAACAAGGAGTATTTTATTAATACAGTGCAGAGCTAAAATGCAAAATGAAATTTGGAATCTACTTGCCTCCAAAAGCAGAAACTGGGAAGTGTCCTGTGCTGTATTGGCTGTCGGGTAAGTAACATGAGTCTTAGTAACTTAAAAAATACAATCATAAACATTTTTAAACTACTGGACTACAGTTACTGAAAACTTAATGTAGAGGTACTGCAGTGGAAGCTTTTGGATTCTAGAGAAACTCATCTTCTGGAAGGCACACTTAGTTTGAGTGTGCTGTGATAAATCAGAATGCAGCTTGGGGGTAGCCTACCATATTGTGTTCCAAAATGCTCAGTGTTCGAAGTGTTCTACCCTTTTGTTCTAAAGGTTCATACTTTTAGTTCCAAAGCGTATATATAAAGGTTCTCCTGTTGAGACACTCCTGCTTTCCTTTGTTTTCAAAAACTGCTTCAGCTGACAGAGTAGGAATGTGAAAAGAGCCAATGGAAGCCCGCACAATTGTCCTGTGGACTCTACCTTATTCCAAGTAAAACTTTGCAGGAAGCAACTGGTGAACTTGAAAAGAGAGCTGCTGTCAGCTGCCATAGCGCAAGTATGTCTGGTGTGAAGTGAATCTGTGGGATCAGAAAGGGCCAGAGGCTGAAGAGGCTTGTGCAGCAGGAGTGAAGGTGTCTCATCAAAAATTAATTAATTAAATCTTTTTTTCTTTTAAATTCAAAACAAAAAGCAGAAATCTGTTCTGTAATCCAAGGAGTTGCTTTATTGAGATTTGTGTTTAGAAAGTTGGAGACCAGGACTGTTAGTGTGGAGAATTGTGTTCCTTGTCACAAAATAGCTGGTGGGTCTAATTTGTGTCATGACAGTGGATGGTAAAAATGTTTATACTTGAAGTTAGGGACATCAGAATTGTTTTTATTTCCCCAGGGCTGACCTGCACAGAGCAGAATTTCATAACGAAAGCCGCCTTTCAACAAGCGGCAGCAGAGCACGGCCTCATCGTGGTGGCACCAGACACGAGCCCACGTAAGTTCCACCAGAGACATTACAGGTAGCAGTCATTGCACTGAAGTGCACTCTCTGTCCTCAGAGAACAGTGTGCTGAAAAGTGTCTGGCCCACCTGAGTCAGAGTTTGACCTCACCTCTGCATCTTGCATTGTTCTCTAGATTACCTTGTATGTGTTTTTAATAGTGGGGTAGTGAGGGCTTGACACTGGAATGTATTGTTGTACTAAAACTAGAACAAAGGGGCTCTAGAGTTCAGCACAGACGAGGAGAGGGAAGAAAAGTGAAACAACAAATGTGTCTTATTAGAATTCTTGCTGACATTTTGTGTGCCTTGCTGACACCCTACAGAACCTGCAGAACTGTGTTTGCACACAAAGATGCAATGCTTGCTTTTAATAGTATTCTGTCTTCTAAAGCAAATTAAATATATGCCTTCAGAAGATTACAATACTTGAAAAGTAAACTAGAAATCCTTCTTCCCTCCAGCTACAACAGACTACTAATGAATGGATTTTTAAAATTATGTGCCGTTATTTGTATAAGGCTGAGCTTATGGTATGGGAAATCTGAAAATGGTGGATCTGCAGTTATTAGAAATAGTGGGGATTCACTGTTTTATGTTTTGTATTTGGATTCTGCCACAGTCTCATGAGTGCTGTAAATAAAGGTGTCAGCCTTCTAGTATTTCCCAAGCTTTAGTGGGTTACATCTGACTACAGGCATTACAGGAAGGAAGCAATGTTCTTTCCATAAAGCATTTTTTACATCTAGGTTTTGAAGTTGTGTCAGGTCAAAGAATGTAAATGTATATTTCTAATGAAGAAGAGGAACAGAAAGCAAAACTTGTGAATGAATGAACTTCACACTTTGTTGTTACTGTTTGCTGCAGGCTAGAGATGGGCAACTAACCTTTGCTTTATTCATATTGGGTAGTTGGACTGGAACTTGTTTTTGGTAGCATCTGTGTAAATTGTCTCTGTCAATGTGTAACTGCCTTTGCATAGGTCATTGCTTTGTCCATTTCCTTTTAAGTCCCTCATGGCAGCTTCTGTCTTGCCTTGTAGACTAATAACTGATAAGGATTGCTCTACTATTTAAGTGAGTTTTGGTATGAGCTTCATATTATGCTCTTAAATCTTAGCTGAGAAACCCCAGATGTTTTTAAGTCTGTTTGAGCTGTGTGGAGAAACAAGTGAAAAGCAATTAAAATATAATCATGAGCTGAGAGGTATTGAAAATGCTTACATATGCATTTTAATTATGTCATGCATGAGAATTACCATCCAGGAGCCAGTAAATGTATCTGGATGGGGAAAAAAGATATGAAATCATTCAATACTTGTCATTACAGACACTTTGTGAGGCCTTGATAGACTTTACTTTTCCTGCTTTGAAGGGGTTTGTTTTTCCAGACAGGTATACTGAGCAATATTATGCAGATTCCTTTTCAAATGTCTATTTTTCAAGGCTTCCTGAAAGTTTTTCTTAGCATAATGAGCATTATGCCTTCATTGCCTGGCAGGGCTTGTCACTGGTGCAAAGTCAACTTTGATCCTTGTACACCTGATTTGACACTGTGGGAGGGTGGCAGCCCTCCCTGCACAAATTGTGAGGGACTGTTGAGTTACATGTGGGTTTGCAGTGTAGTTTGACAATGGTAAAAGCCCATGTAATTTTGGATTGCAGAAACTAGGAAATAATGGCCTCTCTTTCTCCAAAACATTCCTATCACATACAACTTGAAATATTGAGTTCTGCAGACCAGGCTGGTAAATCACAGACTAATCAAAGGGAGGACTGGGTGGGATGCACTGACTCTCAAGAACACATCTGCAAATTTCGTTTGAAAGTGTAACCTTGGAAAAGATACAATCCTGCAGTTATTCAAAGATTTAAGTTTCATGGAAATTATAGGTGGGTGCAATGAAATGAATTGTAGAAGAGGTAGACTTGTGAAATGATAGGAGCAGTGTATTATTCTTCTGGAGAATCTTAAAAAGGGAGGTGTAGCAGGCATTATTTTATGTGTAGCACATAAATTGGCTTGGACACACCATTTGGTGATACATGGTTCTGTATTCTGGAGAAAAGGAAATTTTCTTCTGTTTCTCACACAATTTCTTGTACTTAATAGGATGAGGTCTAATGACTGAAATTAGCTGGTAGCACCAATTAACAAGTGCCAACTTTTGATAAAGTTCCTGAGTAAATTGGACATATATATATATTTATTTGTGGAGATATTGACACCATTTAGAAATTGGATATATCTGTAGGCATTATGTAAGTGTAATTTTGCAAGTATTGAAATAACACTTGAAAATATTGTATGAATGAATTAAAATCTGAATTGTCTTATAGTTGAGGGGGTAGAGAAATGATTGAGAAACTTGTGTCCCAAGTCTCATTTCTATGGCAGTTCTCCAATTCTGAACATGCAGTAAAGATTTGTCATTGTAGGTGGCTGCAATATTGAAGGAGAAGATGAAAGCTGGGATTTTGGCACCGGTGCTGGTTTTTATGTGGATGCCACTGAAGATCCTTGGAAAACAAACTACAGGATGTATTCCTACATAAAAGATGAGGTAATTTGACTGCTGGGTTCTCCTGGTGTTGCTGGGTAAAATAAAGGGGTGTGGCTCACATCTGGTGTTACAAGGTTACAGGAGATTTCCATAGAGATACTTTGAGTTACTTATCAGCTGAACTGTTTCCTTCTCATTTCACATTCTCCTTCAAGTTGCTTTCAGGCCATGCTCACAAATGTCAAGCTAGAACCAGAGATGTGCCTTTGGTTTCAGTGGCATTAATAGTTGGTTAGATGTGTGCTTTTTTTTAAAACATACTCAAGTTGCTTTAACATTTTTATTACACTTTTGTTTCCTTTACAGCTGCCTAAACTAATAAATGCAAATTTTCCAACTGACCCTGAACGGATGTCTATTTTTGGGCATTCCATGGGAGGTCATGGAGCTCTTATTCTTGCTCTGAAGAATCCTGGGAAGTACAAAGTAAGATGAAGTATAGCTTACATGAGGTACACTAATGCCTATATAGATTTCTGTAAATGTGGCAGAAGAAAACATAATACTGAGTTGAGGACATTAAATGTATAAATAGTTTCATTTGCTGCAGTTCATTGTTACAAAGTTTTGGTTTTTTTGCTGCTCTTTTTCTGAACAGTCTGTGTCAGCATTTGCTCCTATCTGCAACCCAATTCAGTGTCAGTGGGGGAAGAAGGCCCTTGGTGGATATCTGGGACCAGATGCAAGCAAATGGGAGGTATGTATTGCAGCTGCAGTTCTACAGTGGCAGATGAATGAGTGATCTGTGAATACATCACAGCAGGAGCCTGGAAAAAAAACTCTGGATTGCCCATGAGCTGGTACTGTTGTTTTACTACACCCCTAAGCACAGAAAAGCATTGTTTGTTCCTGGCAGAAGTGACTTGCTGTTGCCTTATGGTGCTTATTAAAATGTAATGAGACACAGGCCTCTCATCAAATCAACTACATTTCTCTCAGTTTTATGAAGATTTAAAAGTCTGGGCTGAGAACAATTATGAGCAGTGTATTTTTGTAGTAGCCTGAAGAGAGAGACTGCTGCAAACTGCTCAGACTGATGAACCTCATGACGTCCTGCATGGGCAGCCTGTGGGAGGCCTCAGAGAGGAGCCGTCAGATACTTGGAAAATGGTATCCTTATCCTGCAGAACAGCATTAAACTAGACAAAGTTTTAGCTCCAGGACCTTAATTTGGAGTTATCAGTAGTTGTATATGAATGGCTAAGATACAAAAATGTTTGTCTGCATGATTGCTGCATTATTTGGGCAGCCCTTCAGTATTTTTAATCTCAACTTAAACATTGCACTGTATTTCTATAATTAAATTAGAAGGGATCATTGTGACCATGCACTCAGATTTCCTTGTAAATAAGTACATGCTAGAGTTCAATCCCTTGTAAATTGAATAAAGTACTTTTTAGGAAGACTTCCAGGTCTGATTAAAACTTTACAGGATTGGAGAATGTTCTCTGCTTTTCTAATTATTAATAGAGTAGTTTGTGTATTTAGAAACACCACCAGTTAAACTTGCTTAGACTTAATGTAATGGATTTTTTGTGAAACAAAACAACCACCCAAAAACCTGTTTTCTGCCCCCTTGATTTGGAGTGTTTCTGCAAACCTAGTCCAAGGGATAACAGTAATCATCAGGAGCAGACTTAGATTTGCCTTCAGCACAGATATACAACCTCTGATCTCTATTTTAGCTTAAAATTGCCATGTAAATATGTTCAGGATAATTCAATACCATCACCACAGTGCCAGACTGAGCCCAAGCTCCCACTTCCATCGCAGTGTCATTTCTACATCTGGTGGCATCCTGGAAGGATGGCTGTGATGCCTTGGTGTAGGACTTTGAACTGTGCTGTCCATTGGTATTGGTCTTCTCCACAGCATTTAAATACTTTGCTGTCTTTTTAAAGGAATTATTTATTTTGAGTATATAATAAGCACAGGACCACATGGGTAACATCGTAATTACATTTTGATACATGTATGTTTAGTTTTTAATTTTTGTTTCTCAGTCAAACCAAATTTTCTTGGTCAAATGATCATGGTAACCTTCAGGTTAAATGCCTTCCCATGAGTGTAGTTGTGTCACACTGGTGTTTTGACTTTTACCTGCCAGAATAAATACACCAAGATACCAAGTTTCTTCAGCAGGATCTAGTTTCTGCACAAGGTTGTGAGTTAATGCTGACTATATTGCTGTTCTTCAATTCTGTAGGAAGTCAGCCCTGGGCCTGATGTGCTGTTTGGTTAAACTGCCAACTTGGTAATTATCTAGCTCATACATTTGTCCTTTTTAAAGCAATAGGTATTATTTTTCAGTTGCCTGGATTTTCCCTGGTTTTCTGTTCTTCCAAAGTGTAGCTTGGTGTCCTGAGCAATGCTGCCCAGGACTCTCTGTGCCATTCTTTTCCTGTGGTCAACAAACTGAAACCAGTTGAACATATGTAACTGAAGTAATTTCTCTTTTATTTCTGCAGGCATATGATGCCACACAGCTTGTGAAGTCCTACTCGGGCTCTCGCCTTGACATCTTGATTGACCAAGGCAAAGATGACCAGTTCTTGTCTGCAGGCCAGTTACTGCCTGATAACTTCATTGCTGCCTGCACTGAGCGGAAAATCCCAGTAATCTTCAGACTGCAGCAGGCAAGTTGCTTCTGCAATCCTTGGTTGTTGTACTCTTTTTTGTGATTGTTGGTTCTATACAGCAGGCAGTGAAGAGAGTGTCTGTAAGGGAGCAGGCATGCTCTCCCTGTAGGTCTGTCCCTGGCCACTTGAGGAGGAGGGTGGGAAATGACAAAGTGACACTTCCCCGTGGCATGGGCCACCAAGGTGTGCATCGCCCACCCGACTCGGCCGCGCTTCCCCACTAGGTGCCGTCGTGCTTCCAGCTTGGACAGGCTGATCCCTGCATGAGGTCTCGGGCTGCTGGTGCTCGGCTGAAGACACAGCATTAATCATTTTGCATGAGTATTGCAGTCACTGTACAGCCAAAGTGACACATGACCTTCTGCTGCATCCCTTATCTGTGCTGTGGGTTTTGCATTTACCATAAAACTTTGTGATTTAGTTTGCATGTGTTTGTATAAATTCCCTAATTTACACCAAGGGGTGGAACTGCTTGACAGCCTAGATTCATGTCAAGAACAAAGTGGAAGGATCGCTCTTACTGTCCTGAGAGCACTGGAGTCTTTGTAAGCCACTGGCAACTTCCAGCCAGACTGTGAGGAGCCCGGTTGTGGAGAGTTGATGGAGCTGTGGATTGTCCTCTCTGGTTTACCATAAACCTTGCACCTAAAGAGTTGGTGCTGATGGAGTGCTGTGGGCCAGAGGGTGACATTTCAGCACAATGATGGAGCAGTAACTCAGACCTGGGCTGTGTTCTCCTTATCCCCCACACCGTATTTTAGCAGAGGAGCAGTGCCCCTGAGGGCAACTGTTCTTTGCATCTCCCTCTGCAGCTGACCCTTACTGTTACCCATCCCTAGCTTACAGGCCCAGGCTAAGGGACTTTCTGTTTGTTCAGCTTCCTAGTGGTCATCTACACTTCACCTGTTATATATCTGTTGCCATTTAAAAATATATTCCAGGTATTTCTTAAAATGGATAAAACCAGGAGAGTCGTTACATTTCCTCTAAAGTAGCTTAGCATGATTACTTTATCACGAGCTGTATGTTCTCTGCTGATTTCTTTATTGTTCTTTTCTAGGGTTATGATCACAGCTATTTTTTCATTGCTTCATTTATTAATGACCACATCAAACACCATGCAAAATACCTCAATGCTTGAACATTTGGATATGGGTGCTACCTGGCCAATATGAATCAAGAGATAGTGGTGAACTAAACAAAAATCATTTGCTGAAGTGATGTTTGTAAAATGGAACTCTTCTGATTGATTGTACTTCTAAGAAAAATAAAAGTCCTACTTAATTTGATGTGTGTGCTTTAGAGTAACTATTGGGAATGTTCTTACATGCTTGGAAAATTCTTAATGCCATGAGGTTACATCTGTTGCATTTTGGGTCAAAATGTAAACCAGCAGATGAGTGACTTTCCTACCATGAGTGTGGGTGTGGACGTGGTACCTGCAGACAGCTTCTAGTGCAACTGTGCAAAGACTGATTAACAACAATGTGCCCATTCAGCTAATTAATTACTGGGCTTTACTTCAACCTTTAATGGAGAAGGAAGTTGTTAGTGGCACAGTTACTCAAGCTACTTAACTAATCTGAAGTGGTAGGTGTGTTTTTCCTTGGCCTGCGTAAATATCTTCCAAGGACCAAGTCTGATGGAGACTGCAGAGTGCTGTGCACAGTGCTTTACTGTGCTGTGCATTATCAAGCAAATGATCTCCAGTATTCCGTGGATGATACTTACAGAAAATACCTCTTAAAAAACATGTGAAGGGAGCAGTCTGTACTAAAAGGGATTTTTTTCTCCACTTGCCTTTGATTCTTAGTGTGTGAGAGACTTGTACTGTATATCTTGGATGTGACAGGACTGAGAGGAGCCTGCTAAATACATCTAAGAAAAGCTATTGCTATCTAGATGATCTAATATCTCATTGCTGAAATCAAGTATGCTTATTTTACAAAAGATGGCAGAATTTAGTCCTGATAGTTGTAGATCTAAAATAGCTCTTGGTGATATAATTCTGCCAGCTACCGTGGACAAGAACCCAGATTGTTCCAGTAAGCTGCAAGTAAGCAGTGAGCTTTCTCAGGGCTCAGCTGGACCTGAATCGTTGCTCAAACCTTGACTCACTCTTGCCAGAGGAAATGCTACCACAGATGTAGGATGGATTTTCTTTTTTAGGCAATGCTGAATGCTCTCCTGTGTTTCTGACTCCTGCTAGATTCTAGGTTACAGGGAGGCTGGTGCTGGTGACAGCCTTGAATTATGCAGACTTGTATCAGTCTTGCATCCATTTATTCATGAAGTAAGCTCTGAAGGCTGGGAAGATACAACTGTGTGCATTGCAAGAGTTCTCCAGAAGGAAATAATTGCAGAAAGATCCTCTGCTTCCAAAATCCCCTATCAAAAGTGAAGAAGTATAGCCTATAAAGTCACCTGTTCACTAAGATAAAGACACTCCATTAGAGAAATTGGAATCTAGGAGAAACTGTACTTGGATGACTTCAGAAAACTGCATGGGCAAGAGAAGGCTGGATGCTGTGACCTGCTTCTTCTTTCTGCAGCCAGAGGCAGAGCAAAGCAGCTGAGCACAGCCTTGGCACACTGGGTTATCCCCAGGGGCGAAGGTGTGTTACTGTGTTTACTGCTTGGATTCAGTGCCCTCCAGGAATTTTCTGATTTTGCTTGCTGAAGCAGAAGGCTGCAGAACAATATCTGCATTACAGGAGGAGAAAAGGCTGCCCTATAGAGAGAAGTGTTAGCAGTAAAATGAACAACTCTCATACACCAACGTGAGCAGGAGGAAACTGAAGGAGGGGTCTCCCCCATCTCCCTGAGCCCAGCCCAGCCGTGGAGGCAGAGGGCAGATAATTCACTGCCACTGAGAGTGGCTGGAGGCCTTCACAACAGCCACGCTGCAGGGAGAGCACTCCAGGTACCCAACAGCTACCAGCTGGATCTTATGCCTACTTTAGCTGCAAAACTCCTTTATTTGCATCACATCATCATCTTCCCCCAAACCCATCATTTCCAGTGTTACACTCTCCAACCATGTCTTTTACAAGAAATCATCAGTCACAGGGCATTAAAGGGTTTCTGCAAATAATATAGTTTAATTGAAACTACAGTAAAGATTTTCTATATACATTATGTTCACTGCAGAGGGTATTACAGATTTGCCATGCATGTTTTATTGCACATATAAATATTGTACAAAGGATCATGAAGAGTCTCATTTTAGCCATACAGGTTAAGACTGCATAAAAAAAAAAAGCCGTATTACAAAATACTTAGAGCTACTTAATTACAGCCAACTTCAAGCAAATACTGAAAGACATTATCAGGAGAAAAGCAAAATTTTAATTATGAAAAAACATGATTTGTCAAAATAATAATAATTACAAAGCTTCATGTTGCCATATATACATTGTAAAAAAATATTCAGGAAACCTGCATTTTTACCCTCAAGATGCAGAAATCAATATTCCTATTTTTATACTTGATCCTTGAATGCTTCTAAAATTTGATAAACTCTGACTTGAAAACTTATTTTCTTTACATTGTTCGTGCTTTTTGACAAAACAGATATTTGTGCAGCTCTCTAAAATATTAAAATACATTTTCATTTTGTGTTAAAGTGCACAGTACATTTTATAGGAAACAATATGCTAGCTGCCAATCAAATTGCAATTTAAGTCAATGTTCCCTCTATAAAATAAATGTTTTTGCTTTGGTTGAAGTAAGTGGATATTCCATGCATACTGTCTGGCTCATTGTCTGCGAGTCCACTTTCCTGCTCCTCACACGCTGCTGTCACTACCTCCCAGCCCTGCAGCACGTGGTGGTGTTGAAGCGTGTGCTCTGTTCAGCAGGTCTGAAGCTCAGCAGCTCTGCTGCTGAACATGGGTGGGCTTCAATGCAGTGCCTGTGAACGTGTGTACAGCTGCCTCGAGAGGGGGTAGTGACAAGTATGCATCACTCTGCCCAAAAACCTTCATACAATAGCTCTCTTCACATCCTCGTGCTTAAATATTTAGTCCTCACACCCCCTTGCCCCTTTTTTTTTGCCACTCTACATTTCAAACTCCCTGCCTGTGTGTCCCCAGCCAGCTTCCCTTTTCACCACATGCAGCTGCCCCATCCTGCTTGCCCAAATCCCATCACTGGCTTCTTGTGTGAATGAAAATGAGATGTTCCAGATAGCAGAAGAATCACTGTGCTGGAACTTTTTGATCTAAAATGTGTGATGCCTTAATAGTAAATTAGACTTTTAAAAATCTCTTTGAAAAATGTAAAGTGGTAAGAAGGAGAAGAACTTTTATTTCCTATTGCTGACGTGGAAGTAGAGGTCTGATGCTGCAAATGTGCACTACAGAACATTGTGCTTAATTCTGTGGATACTTCTAAAGAGAATCCCTGTACCCAGGCAGGTTGGATCTGGAAGATCAGGTCTTTGAGACTGCCTTTAGCAATTTCAGTAATTTTGTCTTCTCTTGAAGTAATCACTGAAGAAAACAAGTTAATTTTTTGGCTACCTGTTAATCTTGTTAACATTCCTGTGCTATTTTTTACTATTTGTTCTGTAGTGCTGTAATCTTTAAAAGAAATCAAGTTACAGTGCAAAATTACATTTCAAGACACATGATCCTAATACACATAAATAATTTCGTTGTGGCAAAAGTTAAATGTCTTGTGCATAGTAAAATAAGCAATCAAAAATATTTTTTCACATTTATTTTTCAAATTTACATATTTCCTTTTGTTTTAAAACATCTATATACAAATAAAATGGGTGTGCTCTCACTTTCGGCCAATTTAGTCTATCTAGTGAGGGGAGAGGTGTTACTGGAATGTAGGAAACTCAATGGAATGCAGACAATTTTTTACCAATGTTCCACAGATTCAGGAAATAAAGAATGCCATTCCAGCTAGCTGTTCTTTTAATAGAAGCACCTATTTTGTTTGCTTTTTACCTTACATATTAGAAAATACAATTTACGGAGATCTAGAGCTACTGCACACCAAGTAGAATAAAAAATAACTAAGTATTTATATTAAAATAAAGTGTTTAACCACAAAAAAAGCAGTAATAAAATACAGTTTCCTAATTTACATTTTGCATCCAAAGGATGAATAACAACTCACTAATAAATAATATTTATATAAATATTGAATGTCTGGATATTTTTAAAAGGCAATAGCCTGAAGCAACTGCAGAAAAACCTAAGGTGGTAGCAGTTTGATTTACTCTCCCTTCTCCCTCCCCCCAGGTGATTACAGTGATTCTTAGTTTAGTAATACAAAGGTATCTTGCTGCAAGACAGCTGTGTACTCCACACGATTTTAAGTGTCAGAAAGGTGGTTGTTTTAGTAAGTACTGTACAAAGTGAGCTATAAAAGCAGTGAAGTGCCAACTTCCTCTAGAAAATGTTTTGTTCAGTTTCTGCTTTGTAGTTTGACACATATGTACAGTCTGAAACGTGGGTTTAAAATCGTAAGAATACTCTTGGAGTACTGGACTTGTTTTCAATGCAGTTTGAAAAAATGGGCAGTTTTTCAATTCATTCATGGCACAGTGTAGCTGGTAACAGCAGAGAGAGTAGTTTCATGTGAATAAAGCTTGTTTCACTGTGGTTACATCTAGCAATGCTTGAACTGTTATGCTCACTTTTACCAAGCCCTTTTCTTCTAGGATATGATGTGGTAGGCAGAGCTTCTCCTAGAAAAAGACAAAAAAAGGAGTAAAAATTAGAATATTCAATACTCATTACAGAACCTCGTTTTACATGATCACATTTGGAAGACAAATTCCAGCAAGCAGAAGTCATTTCCTATTTTTAATTTGAAAGAACTTCCTGTGATTTTGACTGAAAGTGTCTGATTTTGCTCCTGCTACGTCTAAGAGTTAGTGAGAGATCTGTTAATGCTCTGGGCCCCAGAAGCCAAGATGCTTTGTGGTCATTACAGCATGTAAACAGCTAAGAGTGAGGGCCAGCAAGAACACACCAAACTTTCACCTACAAAGCAGGATAAAACACCATTTGTCCTGTTATGACTTATGTGTGAGATGGGGGGTGGAAGGCTGACTTTAAAAAAAAAAGCAAACCAAAAAACCCCTATATTCTCCCACTGAGCTCTAGACAGGACCCAGGATATGCACTTTGAAAACTATACACTAGCACATACAGGGAAGTGCGTGCAATGTCGTGCATTCAATGGGCAAAGTATTTAGTTTTGAGTATTGGCACTTTATTTGAAACACCCAGGAATCAACTATTCACCATAAGGACACAGCAGTCAT